TGGGGTATTGATAATGAAGAAAAAGCAAAGGAAAAGTTTGAGCAAATCACAGGTTTCAAGGTGGACTCATGCGATTTTTTTGTTGATGAAGAAAAAACATTTTTAGGTGCAACACCAGATGGATTAGTCGGTTCAAATGCTATTGTTGAAATTAAATGTCCATTTAGCGCGAGAAACACCGATATTAAAACTGCCATAGAACGAAAACTTGTTACTTGTTACCTGAAATAATTGATTCAAGACATAGTCGGGATTTACCAATACGAAGCATAATAAAAAATGATTTGTAAATATGCCAAGTTTAGTTTTAGAGCTTTATAAATACATATTGACGTTCATCGGTTGAACTATACTGAACAAAAAAATAAATCGTAATTTCATTACGGTCCAGAATTAGTGGAAAGTCGGCATGAGGGGCGAATGAACTTACGTGATACATAATTGTACTCGTAACTTGAAACGGTAGTGTTTTTTATTCCATTTGTTACTGTGATAAGTGCTAAATAAATAAATAATTTAGCCCTACGGGGTTCCTGCTTTCCGGTCGCTAGATCGGAGAGTACCCTGCTTCCCGATCATTAGATTGGAGAGTACAAGTCACAAATCGACAGTAATAAATGATAACAAGTAATTGTCAAAAAATTAGTACTTTACGAATACAGGGTGTTTCACGTAATTTTACGAGGCCTGCGCCTGTAAGATGCAATCAATAATACATATTCCGCTACGAACTCGATTACAAATTTTGAAAAATTGAATAATTTTCTCTAATTTGTTCACCCTTTAAAAAATTACAACGTTTTTAGTTAGTTAGTGATTAAGATAGGTACACTAGAATCATATTCATGCCGTGTCTTGATAGAACAAATGATAATTGTTTCTGAAAAACTGCAGTTTATGACTATTAATGAAACAGTGATTATTTTGACAACTACTGTCATGGGTTTCCAAAATTAAATAATTAAATGTGTGTTTTTTGTATCCAGTGTTCTGTAATTTTTGTATATTTGGGTGCGAACATTAGGCGCAAGCCTCGTAAAGTTATGTGAAACACCCTGTATTTAGTATTTTTTGTCTCTCAAAATGTTTTCCTATTTTGTATCCCAACTTGCCTTCATTACTTTTCTTTTTTGCTTTCACTCCTATTTCACAAACTGATCTAACCTTTTGCAATAGTCCAATATATTTTTACCAATAATTTCTTTTCCTTCGTTCCTTAATAAATCATTTCTGGTACCATCCTTTCCCTTTCCTGGCAAGAATGCTCTAAACCTCCTCCGGTGTGTCCGGATTGCGGCTACGGTTATATTAGCCCTCCTCGTGGTTCTTGCTGGACAAATTAATTTTTGTTTTTTTATTTATTTTAACTTTTTGTAATACACATAACACAATAACGATAAACATAATATGTGTCTCACCACAAATACCTAGAATCGTTTTTAACACAAAATTAATTTGGCTAATTAGAGCTGTCCGTAAAGACCAACCCATTCCTAAGCAAAAACCGTCCACAGTGAAATTAATATAAATATTATATTTTAATTTTTAATTTTTTAGGTTTACGTATTGGGCTTACTGCCTTTATATTAAACCTATCTATTATTTTAATTTATTTTTAAATAGACGAATAATTAAAAAATGAAGTTTTGGAATGAACTAACAATTCTCTTCTTGAGGGGTGCAGATGCATATCTTTGCTTTGAACAAACGCAATAAAACGATCATGTTGTGGGTTACACCCTGGGGTGCGGTCGTATATCTTACTGCAGGTACAGGACATTATGAAATGATGTGTATTATTGGTTGCCTACTTTCAATTTAATTTTTGCTGTATATCAAAGAATCAAGAACAGTTATCAAATTCGCATTATATCAGGGCACTGTATTTTTAAATTACCTATAAAATGTTTTTTTTTAATTCAATACGGTATACCGTTATCAAAAAATCTTAATAATTAAAATTTTCACATTTTATTCAATAAAAAAATATCTATTAACTTATTTAAAGCGGAAATATTTCTCTGGTCTCCATTTACATTTAAAGAAACACTACAAACATCAAGAAACTCTTCAAGTCTAAATTTGCGGCTAAAAACAATGAAATAAATTTACATGTAATAGGTATACGCCAGCTTTCAGGGGGTCTGGAGCCTTAAGGCTGTCCGGGAGTGAACGGGCAAGTCGGTTTTCAGTACTTATTATTCTTTTTCAAAAGCAACCAGCAATACAGCCTAGCCAGAGTCCAAACTCAGTCTTTACCTGCGTTCAGGGGTTGGGTTAGTAAGGGTAATAAATTGTAATAGAAGTAAAAGATGAGTTCGCCAATATTTTTATGCTTTGAATTTGTGGAAGTTGCTCCAAAAATTTCTTAGAAAGCTAAATATTCTTTTGACTTTTGGATCTTAAAAAAAAATCTAATCATAATTATTCCTATCTACTTGATAGGTTGTACATATTTACTAATTAGAAAGCTCACAGGTTCCATTTTCAATAGAAATTAAATTTTTGTATGGGGTAACAAGTCATATAAATCCATAAATTAAAATTTTTACAATCGGAAAAATTACAAACTTATGCAATTGTGGACTCAAAATTTTAGACATCAAGATATGTCAGTTCCAAAAATTGTGGCGGGTGTTTAAGACTCTTTTATAAAAGGGTTAAATTCTTTTATGGTCCGAGCGGGTTACGCCACAAGATGAATAAATTTGTTTGAGGTAGGTTCTCCAGCGTTATTTTGTGGAGCCAATTACTTTGGGAAGACGAAGGAATTAAGCAGTCAAAATTCAGATGTTCAAAAACATTATAAACAATTTATTAAACTAATATTTAAGTATTTGAAAAGTATTACAAAGTAAAAATTTAAAAGAGAATTTAGGTCTAGCGGAACCGCTTCTGAGATAAGGGCTAACGTTACGCTAAAGTTTAGTAAGAACAATTAATTCAATTGAAATTCTTACCAGCTAGGTCCAATAATAATTGAGTTAAACGAACGATCTATTTTAGCGTCTAATAAGGAAGTCCAATTTTCATTATTTGATTTACTACGCTCTAAGTTAAATTAACAAGTAAAAAGTGGGTAAACCCAAAATGAATATAATCTAAATCTAAAACTAGTGAGTACAATTCAGAGGCAAGAGGAGAACAGTGAGAAGAAAAGGATCAGTTATTCAATGGCCCGAAACCTCGTGGCTTCGGTGTAAACATCTCAAATTACCCGGTTTCGCCCAGTCCATCCCAACTCTCATAAATCTTATTCTACATTATTGTGACTTAAATCGAGGTACAAGTAACCCATCGTAAGTTAAGATTCGCCAAATGGTATAAGTTGTCATTGTCGGAGCAAGGAGAAATTAAAATGAATAAAACTCACAGTTAATCATCTGGATCAATTTCGGAATCAGCAACTAGTTGAGATTGGCCAGGTAGCAGCAGCAGCACTTAGGTGGAATTGGCACGAAGGGCACTTATTCACACACTTCGACACTTAATCGAACAGCACGACACCACGATCAAGATTGAATTGCCTTCTCTTAATTTTCTGGGTGATATTTATATGGAGGGCCCCATGCACATGTGTGATGCAGGTGCCCTTTTTAGATAATTTTGATGTGTGTGACTGTTTTCTTGGGATTTTAAAATTAATGTGTCTCTTCCCTTATCGTGACCATATAATGTGTCGCTGATGACACACTTATCCTGCATCTGCCCTTTATCTCCCTATTTTTAAGAATTTTGTTCTAATTTTAGTAAGTTTTGACATATCTCGACTAATTTATGATTTCCTTAATGATTTTAGCAAAGTGTTAGTGATTCTTCGACAAGTGTGATAGTGTTGATTTGTTTATTTTAGTGCTTTGGTCCAGACAATTTATTGGGTTAGAACTGATATGTATAATGTATTTTTTTTCCCTATTTCTTGGAATAACATGTGTTTTGGTCGTTGTTCGTGGGAACCTTTGTATCTGCAAAAACTCTTATCTGTTGGGATTTATGAGGGTTGTCTCGTAACTCTTGGATGGACATGTGTTTTAATTGCTTATTGCTGACATACTTGGTCAATATTATATGATAAAGTTAAATAGATTAATTTACGTTGATTGTTATATAAATTAAATCGTTGTCTTCTCTCGTTAATTTGATTGTTCCTTTCCTTTTCTCTTTACAATAAAATTGGTGGGTCTAATTGGCCCACCACAACCACTCCCCTCTCTCAAGAAAAACATGGGTTTTAATAACTCATGGCTTTTTACCTAACTTAAACTAAGATTTTCCCACACTTTTCCTACTGGGTATTCAACGCGGACTGAGTATCTACTATTTTGGTGTGCAAAACTAAAGGCTTCCCCGGGAAGAAACTTGCGGGAATTCGTAACCTATATGCGTACAATAACTTTTGCGGACAATAAGATTCGCGTTCACTGTTCACTAGATTGACTTGCACTTCACTCACCACTTGTTACTGTCAGTTATTTTGCTGTGATGGTTGA